CCCGAGGCGGAGCGGCTCTTCCTGAGGGAGCACCCGCTGCTGAGCCCCGCGGGGCCGGGCAAGGTGCGGCCGTGTGAGGGTTGCGAACGCTTGGGGGCACCCTGAGGGCCCTGAGGGATGGTGCCGCCTCACTGAGGGTCCGTGATGGGGCCGGCACCGCGCGGTACCCGATGGGCTCGGCCGCAGCGAGCTCCTGCCCCGAGGTGTTTGTCCGGCGCTGGAAGGCGGTGGAAGGCCGGGGAGCAGAGCTGGTCTGTCCTGCTCTCCCCAGCCCTGGGGTGGATACGGGCAGGGTGGTTAGACGTTGGAAGGGGCTGCCCAGAGAGGCGGTGCAGTCTCCATGCCTGGGGAACGACTGGAGTGGCCCTCAGTGCCATGGTGGGGTTGACAAGGTGGGGATCGGTCATAGGTTGGACTCGATGATCTCGGAGGTTCTTTCCAACTGAATTGATTCTGAGATTCAGTGGGATAAAGCCCTGGGTTTCCTGACCATTAATGTTTTTTTCAGGTGAGGTGCAGGCTGACGGGACACGAGCTGCCCTGTCGCTTGTCAGAGCTGCAGGCTTACACCAGCGGTAAGAAGTACCAGCGGCTCACAAAGGCAGCTCAAGGGTTCGACTATGGCATGTTTGAGCCCCACATAGTGCCCAGCACAAAGAATTTGTATGTATTCTTCCTCCTGTGTGTTGTGCTTTACACTTTGTTCAATCTCAGATATAAAGTGGTTGGGCTTTATAAAGTTCTTAGGTCTTTATGGATTTGGGGAGACTGGGAAAGGCTTTATAAAGTATTTATTAACTTTGAGCACCTTGCAGTGCTTGTAAGGGAAAAGTTATGAAATCGTAGCAACTTTAACTCTGTTGCTGGCTCTTTCTGTGTCTGTCAGACACCAGCTGTTCTGCAAGCTCACCCTCAGACACATCAACAAGCTTCCAGAGCACGTCCTGCGTCATGTCCAAGGGAAGCGCTACCAGAAGGCCCTGAAAACGTGTATGTAACTTTTCTGAAGCTGTACCAGGCAGCATTTCTTTCCTGAGCAGTAGAGATTCCAGTGTATAGCTATGAAGTGTGTGGGACAGCGTTGTTTAAGTTGACAGCAGTGTGTTACTATGTGTCCTCCTCAGCCAGGAAGGAAGGTCTCAGATACAGGGAGCAATTGGCTTGGAACATCCTTCCCTAAGAGAATCAACTTTAAAACTCCCCCAGGGAGTGTGATTCATGTGTCCAGCACAATCTGTGTTAACATCTTCCCTGGTCCATCATATTGCTGTAGATTATGTGGATGTATATTTGGAGCATGGTGTACTTTCGAGTTGCATTTTCTACAAGCTGGGAATGGGAGGATTTAAGGCCTGGGCAGCTGATCAGTGCTGCCTGACCCTCACTTTTAGATGAGGAATGCCAGAGGGAAGGAGTGGACTACATCCCTGCCTGCCTGAGACAGAAGAAGCAGCAGGCACAGCACTCTGATGACCAAACAAACGGGAGCAGGCAGCCTCACAGGAAAGAGGAGTTCTGGGAGCCAGAGTTCAGCAAGGAGGATGGAGAGGAGACAGACGACAGCATGAGTGACCTGTACCCACGTGAGTGAGAACCTTGGTGTTATCCATGTCCTCAAGGGACTTGCTTGGTTAATTGTCTCCTGGTTTCTTTACCCTGCTGCCTGATGCTGGCGTGCCAGAAGCACCTGACTTCATCCAGTTCGGAGTCCTTGGGTTTTGGGAAACTTACCACCACCAAATAAGAAATAATTAATGGTAACTGGTAACGAGATGGATCATGCAGGGTGTGAGGGAAGGGATACAAGATCCACAGGGATTTGCTGTTTTATGAATCTCCACTTTCCTTGTTTCTCAGCAAGTCTTTGACATAACGTGGTCAGGCTGTTCTGCTGACTTAGATCTGGAAGTGCAAATCCATCTTGCTGCAGGAGCAGGAGTGTAACACATGGCAGCACCTGTTCTGATGTTCCCAGAATGGGAACAGAAAGAGCACCAAGGCACATCTCCAATAAAACAGCACCAGCATGTTTATTTCCCAAGTATTTCAGTAGTGACACGCCTATGCCTGGTGACTGGAAACAGATTTAAAGCAAAGTCAGGGGAGGCAGAGCCTGTGTCCACAGAGAACTGATTTTGAGCGAAATCTTTTTTTAGCTGCACTCTTCCCAGAAAAAAACCCATCAGCTCCACAGACCACAAAGGGCAGTGATGACTTCATGACAGACAGCGAGGATGACGGGACCAAGCAGAATGGAGAGCACGGGACAAGGAGGGACAGCAGCAGAGCAGCTGGCAAAAGAGGAAAGGTGGGAGTCATCCCACTGCCTGCAGCAGCAGGGGGTGTGGAGCTGGGAGCCCATCCTGTAGGTGTTCTAGCTATTCCTGTCTGGGAAGCAGCAGAAGGTGCAAAGCTGTTCAGAATAGATTTTTCTCTGTGTGCCAGACAGTGACTTGCATCCCGAGGTGTGAATTCCTGCCAGGCAATATTTATCCTGGGTGGGGTAGTGAGGGATCTTCCTGCCTGTACAAATGGCTCATCTTGGGTGAAATCCTGCCCCACACCAACTTAGAAGGAAAGCTGATGTGTGTCCTGTACTTGTTCTCCAAATACACAAAAAAGTTAAAGTGTTTTGCAGGCACAGTAGTTCCCTCTAGACCATTTTTCTGCCACTTTTGAGGCACTGCCTTACTTTATAAATGTGTCAAACTAGAAAGTTAGGGCTAGGATAAAGTTTGGATCCATTGCTGCAGGGAGCCTGTCAGTTTGTACCTAATGAAACCATCAGCAAGGGCTGCTGAGCTGCAGGATCCTGGCATCATGAGCAGACTTGGGCTCATTCTGGCTGTTGAAGGAGATCACACTCAGTGTTTCTGTTTAAGCTGTCTCAGGCAAGGCTTGATCTGGATGTTGTAAATAAGCTGATTAACTTCTTTTTCTCTACAGAAACAGACAGGTCCTTTAAAGAAGAAATTCAAGAGCCACCATCGAAAACCCAAAAACTTCAAGAAAGCAATCAATGGGAAATAAATTCTATGATAAAATACCTGGCCTGAAGCCTATTGTGTAACAATTCCAGTGGGAGCACAGGATGAAGTGTCTGCCCGTTCCATTTAACTGCTGCAGGTGTGGAGGGGAATAATGGGGTGGAATTAAGTTGCATTCCAAGAGATTCAAGTAAGCCCCACACCAAGAGAAGGATGCCTGCTCATTTTTTTTACAGAAAGCTGGTTTTTGTTAGGCAGGAAAGCACAGCAGCTCAGCAGCGGAGCATCACCAGCAGCACATGCCAAGTGGATACAAAGATGCCATTGTTTTATTTTGATTGTTTTCAAAAATCAAAACATTTTCAAACACAACTAAGTTACAAAATACAGCATAAAATGAGAATTTATACTTTTTTTTTTTCCCCCCACATAGAAAGCAAAAATATATTCAGAATGAATTCCAAAACACTTTGCAGAGCCAATTGGTAGCTGACATCCTGCTTGTGAGAGATTCTCAGCCACTGGGAGAGGTCACTGTATTTCTGGGAGATGCACAAGTACAGCAGTGTATGTAGGAAATCAGAATCTTCTGCATCAGGACTCACAGTTAAATCTGGATGCTGTGCTGCCTAGAAGTATCTTATAATGCCCTCCACCTAATTGTGCCCCTGGAATACTGGAAGTATTCCTGCTGCAGGGGACAGCAACAGTTCCTTTTCTAGGGTCTTTTGTTGGAAAGGGGACTTGATTTTCACAGAGAAACTGGTCAATATTTCAGACTGGTCTGTTATTGAGCTCCTTAGTTAGACAGGACACCAGGAAGTTGAGAAAGACAAGGGGCTCCTTGCAGGAGTAGTTTCTGTCATTTATAAATACTATGAACATCAACAGCAGTTCAGGTATCTGAGAGTGGCTGCCTTGATCAGTCTAGAACCGTTGTAAGACCTGCAGTGAAACAGTGAAAGCCTCCTGTGCTGCAGATCTGTGACTGAAGGGAACAGTTTGTTTAGCCAGGAAGAGTCAGGCACACAGAACTCTTGAGGTGAAGACTTCTCCTGAAAAACTTCCTTGAAAAGAAAGTCATCAGTGCCCTGACCTTAATGTTGAATTCCCTTCCCATCAATCTGTACATGGGAGTTGGAGTAGATGATGTGCAGAGGTTCCTTCCAACCCGAACTATTCTGGGATAGCAACTGGCTTCCTCTAGCAGCAGCACATCTTGCCTTTACAGAGGCTATTATCCCCTTAAGATGATGAAATCACTGGTTTGACTTTCAACAGTGCTCCTCTATTTTTCATTAGTTCTTTCAGCCCAGTTTTCTCTCCTAAAAAGCAACTGTTTAACTGAACTGTGCAGGTGAGTGCCCTTATCAGGAGACCTTGGAGAACAGCTCCCACTGGAGATGTTCAGCTGAATTCCTCCTTGAACAAAGAGCTGAGCATCTTCCTCAGGGGAGGCAACAGAGCAAGGAATCAGTGTAATGGTAGGAAGTTGGTAGAGCTCATGCTGTCTAGAATTCCTCCACAATCTAGTGAACAGGTTCACACCTAGTTGACTAAGAGAGGACAAAAGGTCTCCCCTGAGCAGCACTAAGCATGGCCATGGCACAGAAGTCGTGGCACTGAGAAGCCAAACAGGGCCTTCCTCTCCTCACTCTCCCAAGCTCCTCCTGTGGAAGGTCCATCGCTGGCTACTTCTCCACTGCCCAGGCTTTGCACTCACATTCCTCAGCTACAACCGTTTGCAGAGCTGGGAACGGGGCCACTTCCACATTTCCACCCTGCACAGCTCAGGGTGGTCTGAGGTGGCAGAGGAGGGGCTGTCCCATAGAGCTCAGCAGCCCAGCTCTTCATCAGCTGGGACTTTTACAGCCAAGAGACTGACAGAAGTGACTCTAAGAAGCAAAGACTACAGATTAGGAGATTGGCTGCTCTCATCTGGCAAGTACTGAGTGCACAGAAGAGGGGAGTTTCTGTAATTCTCAAGATATTTTCACCAATAACCTGCAATTCAAATATGAATTTGGGGCTTGTATGGATGGAAGCTCGCTAATAGCAGAAAGGAGCTTTTATTATGGAACCTGCAGCACAACTTGGCTCCCTTCCTGGGAATTCAGGAGGGGCAACTTTTGGGGAAAGAATGTAGAATAAAGAATTCTTTTGGCACAGAATTTTCACAGAATCTAATGCTCTGTCTCTTCAGGATTATCTCATCTCCCCCACTTCCTTTAAATCTGATTAGCAAGACAGGATTCATGATTAACAATACAGGATTCTCCCTTGTTCCCCTCAAGGGCAGAACTAGGACATGTTAGAAAATCCTCTCCCTTTTCTTACCCAGAAAGAGGTACAACTACTTCCAGGGTTTTCTTTTTGCCTTCTGTAGAGGAGCAGGAAAGACCCTTCCCTGTTAAACAAAAGGGAATTACAGGCCTCTGAGCAGCAAAATAACAGTGATTTTCTGGGTTTTCTTTGATGCTGCTTTCCACCTTGATAAGCAATGCTATAACCAGCCATGGAACTCCTTACATACAAGACAGTTTTGATAAGGACAAGAGAGGGGATCCACTTCTTTTAGTTATAGCTACAACCCAACACCACACTGAATGATACAGCTGTATCTGCTCACCTTTCTGCAAATTTTAAGACATTGCTGACATTCCAGACAGCAACTGTTCTAATGCAATTCACTGAAGCATCAGCAAAATGCAGGTTCCTTGGGTTAGTTCCAAATCTAGGAAGTTAGAATAAACCTAGGCAACATTCCTTGAATAAGAAATAAGATTTTATCTATTGTATTACTGGTGCCGCAGTAAATCAAATTCAAAACATCTGTGCCTTTTATAGGAAGGGGGCATGTATGTGTAAAATGCTGGCAGTTTTTGTTGAATCCATAGAGAATCAGTTCTGGACTTAGTACAGTATGTCCCAAGAAATGTTGCTATTCCTGTTACCACTCTTTTTTCTTCTCATCCATGGAGACTCCGCCGGGACCCAGTGCAACCACAAGGAGGAGCCCTCCAATGACAGACATGGTCTGGAAGAAATCGTATCTGAGGAAGTCGTGCATGGGCTTGTAGGCTGGGACGGTCCAGAAGGCATTGAAGTAGATGTTGATGCCAAACAGCCAGATGACCAGAGTCAAGGCAGCCAGCTTAGTCTTGAAGCCAATGGCCACCAAGATAATCAGGGCTGTGCCCACAATGTTCTGCAGAATCTGCAAATTAAAAAGCCACAAAGAAACACCATTTACTTACAGTCTGTAGATACATACACCAACATCAGAGCAGAGCTTGGATAAGTTCAGTTGTCATGGCATAGACAACCTAATAATTTTTTCTAAATTCTTAATTTTACTTATCTATTTCATAAACATTGAACAGATCCTGCAGCCCATCTGGGCACTGGTGCTACATTCTAGTTGCTCAACTCATACTTTAATGCTGGGATACTTACAGAAAAGAAGTTCATATCAAAGTGTAGCAGTGTCATGAACATGAGAACGAGCAGCACACGTCCCCCCAACTGCATGTACTGCTTTGGGGAGCTCTCCCTCATGGTGGGGACACCAGCAAACATGCTCTTCCCTTCTGAGCGGGACTCAGCCAGAAGCAGCAGCAAGCCTCCCCCAAGGGCAAGATTCCTACACAAACAGGGAAAAAAGGGGAAAAAAAAAGCAGTTTAGTACAGCTTGCACTGATCTACATCTGTAAGGTCTTATCTGAATTTCAGTAAGGATCTATGTGAGACTGAGGAGTGACTTGCTCTGCACCGTGGCATGTGGTGGGCTGTGTTAGACTTCCCAGCCTCAGCAGCACTGAGCACACCAAAGATTTTTGGGAACACAGCCTGCCAGGGAAGTCCAGCACCCACCACTCAGGCACTGTTGCTTCAGTGGCTCTTACAACACAAATTTACTTGTGTTAAAAGTTATTCTGTACCTCAGGTTTAGCCATATATGCCAAAGTAGTTCAGAGGTTGCTTTGAGAAAACAGAGCAGCAGCACTGCTGAAAAGTTACACATTGACAGGGCTGTAGTAAGCCCAGAGTATAGCTCTTGTGCTGGCCTCCTCTCAGAGGACTGGAAAGGCAACAGCCAGCCATCACTCAGGGCCTGACAGGAAAGCTCATGTTTGGAATTTTGTCTTCCCGTTAGGGAAGGTGGTAAGAGATTTAAAAGCCCAGAAACCACTCCAGTGACTGCATGCTGTAGTTTTCTCAGAAAATGGCTTCAGTCATGCAAAAGCAGAGTTGCTATTTTAGCCATTTAGAAAAAAGAAGCAACTCTGATCAAGTGTAGACAGTTGGTTGAGCTCTCAGCCAGGTTAGCAGCAGAAGCACTTGGATCCTAGTGGGTTAGAATTAGTTTTTCCCTTCCTGAGCCTGCTGTCTACAGTTTAACACAGACTCTCCTGATTCTTCAAGAGCTGTCATTTCTTCTTTAAAGTAAATACATCACTTAAAATCTATTAAATACTATGTACAAATGTCATTTGCTCTGTCACCAAGTGCCAGTTTTCATTCTATTTCCATAAAAACTTCCAGAAGCAGGCATACCTCATCAAGAACTTCAGGTCCCATAGAATGCTGTATGCAATAGTCTAGGCAAAGAACAAAACAGGTTAAAACACCACATAAATTACACTGAAGTTCTGAATTTCTTTTACAATCTCAAGTCTGTATCAGCCACAGCAGAATTTGATTACAAATACAATATAGTTAGGGAAACAATGTAATTACATCAGTGTTGTCCAGTGAGTCTGTGTAACACAAAGAAGGGAAGCCAGAATTTGATTTGTGCTTTAGGCCCCCAAAAATTCCCTAGTTTTGTAGGGGAAGGATGCTACTAGCTAGGATCCTTTGTGATGGGAACACAGCTGAAGGCCAAAGCAATTGCAAGTTCCACATTTGGCTTATTAACTGACATCCAGGTAAATTGCCAGCTACTTCTGCTAAATTGGTCAAGGTCAAGTATTGAATGAATGTCTCCAAGCTGACTAATTGCTATTACATCAATCCGGCACATCAGGAGAACAGAAGCAGCAAAATAGTTCAATGC